TGACCCGTGAGTGCTGCATCGGCGTCTCCGGATGCGTGCAACCAATAAGCAGAGGATGAGCCGGGTGCAATTAATTCAACAACCCCGTTAGGATCATTGATCCTAGTTTCGAACACACAACACACATCAATACCCAGTGTGTCCAAGGTGCGTGCGAGTGCAGCCTGTTCACCTATTTGTCTTAGAGTGCGGACGTTGAACGCAGCCATGGAAAAGGGATAGCGTGGCCTTATAAGGGACTTTTGCCGATGGGTGTCCGATATGTGATGTGTGTTGATGGTTGGAGATGGTTCTACTGCAGTGGCACTTCGGTTGCTGTCAATTAAGCTGGAAATTATAGAAGGAAGGTTAGTAATGGGGGTCGGGATGGGAGTAAGAGAAACTGGTGAAACAGGAAGAAATGAGGCGCCAGCAGTAGAATGTTTTCGCTTATCCACCCTGCTGTGTGCAGCAGATAGGGTGACCCTTGATACTGTGCGCGACGGCCGATGCAGGATGAAGTTTATGTTTGAAGAAAAAGTCATGGTTGTATTTGGGCTGAGATCCTGCCAGGGCGCCCAAACCTGGACAGGAGGACGATTAGGGTTCTCATTCAAAATGTTTGGCTCAAAAACCTGTCCGCAAGGCAGCGGGGAGATGGCAATGATTTAGTTTTACAGAAATGGACGCCATCCGCTTTCAAACCCCCAACCTAGAGGACCAGGAAACTGACTTTGTCTGACCTCTCACCATTGACCAACCTGGTAGGAGTAACTCTCAAGATGCCCGTAGGCATCACTCAGTATAGCTCAATGGGTCAATGAGATACGCAAACTGTCGCACCACGTTAAGGTCCAGTCTCGTTGCGACGGATGTTTCCCAGTACATCCGCAGCGATGGTGGAAATGCTGTAAAAGCGCCTCTTCCGGCGCACAAAGCTTAGTTTGACTTTGACTTGCCTTCTTACGATGCGTACACAATATTCGGGATCGCTTGGAGCCTAAAGTACTTGATAATTTTGGACAGAAGTGTCGCATTTTCTTTGGCTCCGGAGGGTCAGACTCTAGTCATGTGGATCCGATAAACCAGAGTCTATGTGTTCCACGGAGGTTCACCACCGGAGACCCTTTGCGCATTTTTCTGGAAATCAGCAAAACTGTTCTGGTCTTTGACAAAAGTATGCGCCAGTGAGTTTCGTGTTATTGGAAATCACCAAGAGGTCAGCTGCAGAAAAGCCGACATATTATTACGAGCATACCACGAACTGTTTGAGGGGGGCGGTTATTAGACATGTAGGGTATGTGGGCCGAAACGAGAATGCTTGTGAAAAGTTGATATCGGGACATCAGATGCATACTTCAATGTTGCATGGATGTCAACAGTAATTGTCAAATCTGGGTATATTTGTTCTGTCGAATACCATCGGGTTCATGCGTGCCCACACTCAGTCCCTATGGGATTCCAACAACAAGGTGCATATCTATCATCCATGTGACGCGTTCGACTGAGTTGCGTTTAGGCGCAAATTTCCGTTGAGAGTTACGGACCAAGTGTGCCATAATTCTTCCGCCCCATTCCGTCAGTCCTTCTCAAGACAAGACAATCGAACTACAAGTGGAAGTTTCGTGTGAAACATAGTTTGCATACGGAATATATTGATGAGCCATAGGTCTATATCAAGAGTGTCTAAAGTCCGACCCGCGGACCAAATGCTGCCCACGTTAACATTTCAACTGGCCCGCGACCTAATCTTGAAATAATAACTTAAGGCTTGCAGTTTTTTCGAACATGTGTAATTTTTGTTATTACTTTAATATCAGACTGAATAAGCCCGACATATTTTTACCTCATAAAATGTGACCCTCCTTGCAAAATGTTTGGACACCCGCTGATCTATACTATCAACCCGTCTCGTTACACCCTGATGAAAACAAAAGCGCGGGCAATTCATCCGACCACATATTTAGAGGTTGATGTAACACCCTGGGATCATGCTACAACTAGCCGGTTTGCAGCCGTTTTCTTACCGGAGACGCTTCAGCCATCGTGATGGAAGAGACTCTGTCACACATCAGCTCATTGCGCACGCTAGATAGTATTACCTGACTAGATGATCAGTGTGTCTAAGCACACAGATTAAGTAGTGGTGGGTGGCGATAAGGTGACGCTCTTGAGGATTGGAACCGATCTAGTTAACAACATACTGGTTGAGACGGACCTACTTTTCTGCGTGGTGTTACGCAGTACTCCGTCTGTAAGCTGTTCATCGAGTATGAGTACCGTTTTGGTGACCGAATTGCCGATTTCTTCGTTGATCATTTTTAAACACTGAAAATAAACATTAATTAGTCGACACCGAGCTTACAATCCAATTCGTGATTCGCCCTTGTTTTATGGTTGATACGGAGCTGTTTCATGAAATGTTTCGCCCTTAAGGGAATACCCTAGCGCAGTGCATACTTTATTTGCTTCAATCAACTGGCACTACTCTTGGAGGATAGGTTTATTTGTAAGTGGTGTACAATATGTACAATATGACGAGCTTAACGTATATTCAAACTGGGAAATTAGGTATCAGTTATGTTCCCAATAGTCGTCCATGAGGGTAGCAACCGGCAAATCGGTTTGACTTTGGGGAGTGAGCACATTCCTCTGAACGAGTTTCGGCTTGAACAGCAATAACAAATTGTTTGAAAATCGTGGGAATGACAACAGCAGGAGAGAACTAAAAAGGTATACAGAGTACCTCTATCTACGTAATGCTTTGGTATTGGTAAGCTGCAAGACGGAAGATCAAAGCTGATTACAACTTTTGTGAAGCATACTGGGATTAGTCATCTGGTTTAATCATCCCCAACTAGCGGAAGCTTTGTTTGGTTCTCGACAGGCTTTAGATTCAACCGCTGGTGCCTTTAAACTTTTTCACACAATAGCCTTTCTGACTGTGATTTCACTTAGTGTAGGTCGTTGCCATCTCCAGCAATCGCGCTGCATCTGAGGTTGGGGTGTTGTGAGGTCCTACATGCTCTGCAAGCTGCAGGCATCCCCGTACCGATTCCGTGGTCTAGCGTTTAGGAATTCTGTCTTTTGAGCAGATTGTGACAATACTTTAACGCATGGTATCCTCAAAGTTGCTTTACCCGGTGTGCTTGGAATCACGGGTTGAGTTGTGAGATGAATTGAAATGAGCTGTCATCATACTGATTTCCAAAACCACAACACAGGTGGTGATTCGCTCGGCGGCGTTCACTCTTGAAGGAAACGCAATTGGTTAGTACACCGTAGCTATCTCGCTTAAGTCGTGAAGACTATTGCGCCCCGTAACCAGTGACAAATCTCCACCGGGTACAGGTGGGTATATTTAGTTTTCGCAGTAGCTTCCAGATCAGGCAGCCCACCACATGCGAAAACTTATTGTACGGTCGTTTCGATCGTTGGCTCTTGTCAGCAGTACGCATCCATCGGATCCATCAGGGAACGAACGCATGGCCACTAGCGACTTGCACCGTTAGTCATTAGCTTTTACAATATGCGCATAACTGGCCAGAGCTAACAGAACAAAAAGGGCAATCTCCTACTTTTCGGGGCATGTGAAGAACTATCTGATTAAAAACCGAAAGCGAAGATGCTCCCAACTATTCATATCAATATACCTACTCATGAGTACATACGGATATATTGGTCCATGACACCACCAAGGACTGACCAGTAACAATTTGACGACGCATTGGGCCATTTGCAAACCGTTTTAGGAGGCGTTAAACACAAGGTTGCATAACTCAACCAAGTGGTGTGCTTCCCGGTTTCAACCAGGTGGATTACTACTCATTACCAAGCGAACATCTACGTGAGCTCACCTGTGGGTACTCAATATTATTGGCACACTGTTAAGTTCACTACTCTCGTCCCCACCATACTATGGGACTTGATAAATGTTACCATTCTTTACCCGTTTCAGACCACAGCTTCAGTGTTGCACCATCTAACTTCCGAAGTAAACCTCGCTATAACGATTTTGTAGCGATTTCCTACTGCATGTGGCAAACCCGAGCTGGTCACATTTGAATGAAACTCCTCTCGGTCATTTCATGAAGTTTTACCTATTTGGGAGATGTGTGGCTCAGCGATTAGTTGTATACAGCTGCCATCTGTCGACAGGAAACCGACTAGTCTATTCCATAGATCACAGTCCATGGCCGAGTTTCGGTCTGATTTGTCCATTCTGTCATAGCTTACCCGGACTATCCAGCTTTGGTGATCGAAAGATGAGCCATGTCAAATCATCATCCGCGACACTCAATGAATATGAAATAGAGGACTACAGCCTGTCAGTGTAATACTGAAGTCGGACGATAGCTGTATCAGCTAAGCAGTTGGAATCTGATGATTTTATACGCTAAATGGAGGATTGCGCATCTTGAAGCTATTCAAGGATGAGAGTATCTAGCTGTCAAGTGTTCATGGTGGTACTCGACACCACGCACCAGTTGTTTGATAATTCCTTTTAATTGTCCCAGCATGCACAACATTAGGACCCATAATGTATCAACATGCTCTACCAACAAGGCTGTAAGTTTGCTTCAGTCTTGCATTTGTCCTCAATAGATAGCCACTGTTCGGAACTCACCACCTATTTTCAATTGTTTGAACTACTATTTCTATTGGTAGCGGCTTGCGAAGGAATTCGTGGCTCTGGGGGCCAGCACTGTCCTCTGCACTTTCATAACATACATGACACTGGAGGATGAGCCGCACTACATCGCAGTTAGATTTCAGTCAAGCGGTCCACTGCCGTCGCCCATGCCTAACTGGCATAAATCGCTGACGCGCAAGAGTAAGGTAGTGGGTTCGAACCTAGCAGGATTCGGCGGGTGCTCGCTACTGATGACGAAACGGCCATCTAGCGCTTTCCTGGATGTGTGGTGGCTGTCTGCCTGAGTCTAACTGCGACGAATCTAAAGCGTTAGACTGAAAAATTCCCCAATGTTTTACTGTCGATTCTCCGTATCGAACACACTCACTTTGATAGCTGCATCATAAATCTGCCGTAGGTACGTCCCTATACGAGAGAACGGGGAGAGTTGCGTCCAGCAGGTGCGCAGGCTGCATGACCCAGAGAATCCGTGACATCTGCAGGCCACAGATGCCAATTTGTACACCGCCTGTAAGAGAACAAATGGAGGAGGATGGAGGCTGAATCAGAATCGAAGTTTACTCAAGTTCAAGTGACAAATTCACCATTCCTGGGATCAAGTTAGCTCATGATCAGAACGTTGAGATATTGGGTTTAGCCTCAAATCCAACAGATCCATTTGGCAAGATCCAGTTTGCACATAACTAAGGTAAGCAGCGCTGTTTGCGATAGACTTTAAGGTTAACTTCAGCACCAGGAGAGAGATACAAAACAGTGCACTACCTTTTGACTTTTTATGTCAGAGGTATCTATTCTTCGTTAGGTCTAACTTGAGCTACTTGTATGTAATGCATATGAGCTGGTTCTATCACACGGTGGGTGGCGACCCGTTGTATCACGACAATGAAGCAGTCCATGGCACAGGTATCTTCCTTCTTCTCCTTCCGTTTCAATACTGAGAGCCGGATTTTGGAAGTGAGAAGCTATTTTCCTTAAATTCATGCAAGATTTCTCTTTCACAGCTTTCGAACTAGCGAAAATACCGCAATTCAGCAGAATGACCTGAGTTAGGCGCGGCGAATTCGGGTTTTTGGTATAGGATTAACTATATCAGCCTGTAGCATCTGCTCCACAGGTTCGAGTTCCAGTTCAGGTATCGCTGTCTGATGAGTTCAACAAAAATGGTCACAGAATGCCGTGTTGTGGTTTTATTCTGAACTGAGTTACTTTGCAAATCCTCTTCAGCTTTTTACATGCGATATGTGGGATGAACAGACCGTAATAGGAAGACATCTACCGTGCAACGTTATTGCTGAGGTCATGGGGATCATAGGTCAATAAATTCGCTTTCATCCCGTTTAGAGGGTAGTGGACTACCTTCCCGGTGTATGTCAAGAGTTGCCTCTAAGGCCGTCTGGTTTCACAAACTGAATCTCAGCTGTTGAATCTCCAAGGCTTCGGCTACTTCAGGTGGGTGTGCGTTGCTTCGCTTGTTAAAGACTTTACACGATTCAAGAAGGCTCTGGCACATGGGACCATTGGCTGCATGTCATCCCGATTGGTACAGCAGTCTCAAGCATGGGATTGCAATAGCAAGCTTGTGAGTTCGAGCCCCATAGAATGCACACGAGCTGCACACTGCTGACGTTACCAAAAAGGATAAAACTGCCGTGAAATTTTGGTTGACTAAGTCTGACCGTAACGAATCTCCTCGAAATTTCATTCCAAATCCCTCCTTTCCTTACTCTAAACTTCGAATTTGCGTCGATCATACCAAAGTTGTTATTATCTGAGATCCCTGTAGACAGTCATCTTGGCCAACTTACTTGGTGAACAAGGAACAATGATTTATCACGGAATAAAAGCAAGTGCTTGACACGTCCCGTAGGATGGTTGGGATGAATACGATGCAATCAAAATATATTTGAGTCATCTGTGAGCCTCTACCGAGATAAATGCTTTGATGAATAACGCTAAACTAAAAATCGTGTGTAAGCGTACAGAAATATACGGGGTACAGTGCTCATTAATGTAAAGCGTGAGAAAAGTAAAATATGGTCGCTCATCTTTGAGCCGCCTTCTTAGTTCTGTGACACATAAACTCTGTAGAAGGGCATGATTAACGTAATCTAAAATCGTATAGGTTAGGCAACGAAGTGCTGAGAGCTAAGAGTAACATCCAATCGTTTTCTGAAGGTGTCAAAAATAGGGGAATATCCAATTGTGTCTGGGAGTGCGTTCCAGGGTTGGCAAACCACTGCCACAAGTGCATTGGTAGCCTGTGCAGCTAGCTCATGAGAATAAGTTTTGAAAAGAAGGAAATTTACCAATAGTGTCCAGTTTCGAGTACGCGTTAGTAGGGTCCGAATTAGGTCAGGAATGGTGGAGAGTTCTCGTAAACGTGAAACAACACTTCGTTGCCACAAAGTAACTCCATTTATAGTGCGTAGTAAATACGATAGGAAGTGGTAGCTTCAGCAGATCGTTGTGGCCATCAACTGCCCAGCTATTTTTCAACATGGTCGCTTTTTGGTTGAGGAAGTTCTCCAGTTAATTGAGCCTAGTGCGCTAATGAAGAGATTTGCGAGACATATGAGAACCCTCCTTACTTAGGGTTGCTGACACAATTATCAGAGGTGCCTCCAAGCGACCGATCAGCTTAACGTGCATCAAAGTGGCTGGTTTAGCCATGCTTACCAGGCAACCAGCAGCTCCACTCTACCGACAGTTTCCTCGCTTTCGAACTTTTTCATAGCTTGAGGAAATACTTTGCTGGGCATAGCAATACTCGTATCCCCACTCTCAACTTTTTGGTTGTCAATATTATTTATTTATTTATTATTAACCTATAAAAGATCAACTAGTCATCCCACAGTGAACTTGTGAGTAATGTCAGCGTAGAGTAGTATAGGCACCAACTTACCGTAAAACCTCCTAAGTTGACTATCTCAATATTCTGATTACCTCATTAATTTTGTTTGTTTTCACTGCTTGAACGTTCGTTCTGTGAACCTTATCGATCCAGACCTCTGTATGTTGATGACCTCCATTTGTTGACCACTCTCGTCCAGTCCTTTGAGTGGTCAACCTAGGGAGGCCTTACTGTATAATCTCTTCAATCTTGGCCAACAAAATCGACCGAATAACTATCCTGTCAGAAATACGGATAAACAGCGAAGAACTGAAATTCCCAAATCAGAGTTTCGAGAAAACTTGAAATTGGCTTGTAGTATCGTTGCTTTGGTATCAATGTAGATCCAACGTGCCGACAATCGGTTTAAATCTATATCTCACGGTTCTGGGAGTGCTTCTATTTGATGCATATCTAGGTGCACTTCAGTACTACATCACATTCTCTTTCAAATCGTCAGGTTGCGGATGACAACATTATTAGGATTGCAATGTGTCGGCAAGTGCCAGCCACCTCCAAGTAAGGGAACCATACTCATGAATGTGGAGTGATGGGAAAAGTAATTATCACACGACAAGGAGTTCGTTTATCATTAAACTTTCTATAAGTGCTTCATAGATGGTATCCTGATCGATCGCTTTATACGCGTTGAAAGTGGCACAAACATCTGTGGTGACGGCAAACAATTTGTCTTACTGTTTCCCTTTCATTTCGGTCGTCCCAAGTCAGCTTTCGTGTTTGGTAAGCTGATATCATGATGAATATAGGACTACCATTCACATGTGTTCACCAGGTGGCAGAACACATGTCCAGTACCTGATGCGCAGTGAACGGTCTAGCTAGCCGGACGTGGTGGTTTGCAGTGCGGTCACAAGGGTTGATTTCATGGGATTGACTACAGTTACATCACCGTTTAACCAGGGTGGAAGGTGCTCACTATTGTGCTGCATCTATTATTTCGCGTGGGTTTCGACTGTCCTGTGGGACTCTTCTTTGAATTTCGCATCTTCCCTTGAGAAACACATCCATGCAGTGTATTACTAGACGGTCTCTCGCTTGCAGCACCAAATTCTGCTTCACAAGCTTCGGAAGTATGGCATCAGAGATCTAGTATTGAGATGGATCGGTAACTTTCCCGGAGAACCACAGTTAGAAGCTAGAACTGGAACATCTTTGTCCTACCCAATTCAATATCAGTGCGGTGCACTGCAGGGTTAGGTGCTTGGACCTCGCCTGCTTTTAGTCTGCTTCAACGATCCAGTGAAATTAGTCACCTTAAAGTTTTCCCTCTTCACGTACGATGTTAAGATTTGGCGGGAAACCAAGAGATTGGAAGAACACGAAATTCTCCAGCGCGACCTCGATGGGGCCTGGAATTGGACGTTAAAAAACGCACTGTCATTCAGTGTGGGCAAGTATTGTATTGTCCACACCCACCAGCGACATGCCTACATCTACAAACTAAGGCGCAAGATCTGCAGACAAACTCTCTGGAAGATGATCTCAGAAAGGACGACCTCAGTTGTTCCGGACAGTCTGCTTTCGTTTCAGAAGGGGTAACCTGCATGTTGGTCTCTTACGGAGGGCCTTCGGGACTTTGGATTCCTCTATCTTCGCTCTGATGCTCAATGCCTATATGCGTTCCCACGTCGAATACGCAATCCAGACTTGACAAACTTGGTTAAGCCGTGACGTTGCAGGGCTCGAAACTCCCTAACGTTGAGCAAAGAAATTTGTCAAGGGTTTGCTCCATCTTCGGTAACAGGAACAACTGAAGGCACTCGGGGAGTTCAGTAGACGCTACCGGCGGCTACGTGGAGACACGTTACTATAACAAGTATGGAATCATCGCAATCACGTGTGCCGTCACCTTCTGAAACTGATCACGAACACTAAGTTAAGACGCAATAGCTTGAAATTAAGTCAGCAATACAGTCGCGCAGACTATCGACGAAATTACTTCTCCGTCCGGGTCTGCTAACCCTTGAATGCGCTCTCAAACTCAGTTGTCTGCGCCCCACGTTAGCGAGTTTCAAAACCGCTTGGGTATCGTGCTCATCCCCTTAAACTTTGTTGTACCAACAAGTACTCTGGAGTGCATTCAGGCTAATTAGTTTCTTTGGAATTATAAGCCACAATAACGCACGTAAGTCAGTGTGAGCCAGAGAGCAATCCGATTGTTCTTGACAATATACATTAACCATAGTAACTTATCGTTCCGTTTTACAAAGCGCTGCCTCGTCCCCACAACGCTTCTTTTAATACGCCGTTGACATATCACTTCATCGATGCACATTCTATTTTGTCCACTTTTGTAGACTGCAAAATTGCAACCTGTTCCATTACCAACCTACGAGACATGCAAAGCGTATGCTCATTTCCCCTCCGTAACCCATTGTTCCATTGTACCAAATAAAGGAATGCACTATTCCTTTTTTGTTCTTTAAGTTGTGTTTATCCTGCCTCAGTAGCGGAAGCTATTCATTCGAATCTCTCATTCTCAGCACACTTCTCCATAATTGCTGGTCCCTGGGTGTACTCTATCTCACCATGAGATGCCGTGGATACGGATGCCAAGTGTACTGTGTCCGAGGTAGCTAGATCAAAACTATGGCGCTAAAATAAAATTCAGGCGTAATTCTGGGTACGAAAGCACCTATTGGAGCCCGCTTAAAAACAGTATGCTAGCCTGAGTCTTTTTCGCATGCATATCCACCTGTAGCACATGATATTTGCAAAATGAAGAACATGTTGGTGTTGAAAAGCTTTTCGGTTGTTTTCGTAGTAAAACGACTTCGCGTATGTTGCATGAGAAATAGCATGAAAGACAGGTGTATCAAGGACAGATATAGCAGCGGAGGCATTTGCCTGATTAACGACAATGATGCATTAGAACGCGCCTTCGATACAGACAATGAACGACTTCCGGGTTAAGTAGATTACACCTTCATTAATTGCATAAAAATGTACGCTACTCGCAGTTAGCTGCACCCCGGTTGGGCAGCGTTTTTCACGGGTTAATTCCCCAGTCCCGCATTTGCACACTTGTATTTCACTGGTCTAATTCGATTGAGGCTTAGCTGATCTTTTCACGAGTGCAGTATTCCTCTGCTCTGCACCACTTCTCGATATATCGATGCGGAAAGTGCATGTCTTTGGTTGACCCTCCGTTATGCTAAGCAATTCCCCTGAGAACCATGTCCTGACTGGTTGTCACATCATACCACATACAGTGTTACATAAATAGGCATGCCTGGTTTACTGGGTAGCATTTCACATTGAAAACAACTGGCATTATGCACGGTGCACGTTGCACAATTTGATATCTACTTGTTTTGAAACTGAGCTGCACCGAGTAGTGAGAGTGTAACAGATACTAGCACAAAGGATAATTGCGGTACGGCATCTACTACTTCGGGCAGTTATATCCAAGTCACGCTAGCAAAATACCAGACTCTACGGGGAAGCTGAGATGGACTTACCAATCGACCTGCTCGATTGTTGTGCAGATTCATCAGCATCCTTGCCAATTCGGTTGAGTGTCTGGGATAACTTTTCTCCTTCTCTCGGACATCGATGAATGCTTTTGCGAACCGATAGGCGTACGCAATATTGTCCCCACAACCACCCCAAATCCAGTCTCGATGCAATTCTTGCGGTCTGTCTGCCTTGCTGCAACCGCATGAATGTAACTGTGCGACTTTACAACTGCGCGCCAAAGCATGAACCACTCCGGCAGCGGAGATCGCATGGGCAAAACTTGCCTCCCGGCTACCTGAAAAGCGACAAACAACAACCCTGTGACTTGTGGTATGGAATGGTAACTGTATCGAAACGAAACTTGCCCCACCAGTTAACCAACCGACTGATAGTGGGTTCAAATGCTAACAAGTACCATGTCTTTAGTTGCGAGATCGGTATCACACGTATAGAGATTATGCTGTGTTCAAGGTTGGTGAACTGAGCTCGATTTACCGAAGGCATAGGTACATGACTGTTATTATAAAAAGTAACAGCCTTTGCCTGTCCCTGTTTAATAGTTCGATAGTGTATGATGTGATAAAAAGCATAACTTTACAAGACCTACAGGATGAATATGCACAAGAAAATTAAAATCAAAATGTTCCAACGTAGAACGAGAAGTATCAGTGGTTAAACCATTGCACTTTAGCAAACTGTTGTGTAGCGTTTATCACTAAGATGAAAATCCACTAATCTTTCGAATGTCGTCATGTCTGGTGAGTTCACCACATATCTTGGTAATGCATTCCAGTGAGAATAGATTCTAAGTGAGTAAAAATACTTTCTACACTTCAGACGGGAGCGTTGCATCATTAGTTTCAGGCGCTTGCCTCGGCTTTGCTTGTAGGCGGCTGGGGTCTACAGTGATGCATCAGAAGCATTCCGAGTGTCGTGGTAAAGTGACGTGAGCTCAATTTTTTCAACTCTGAACTTTATCATTGGCCAAGAAAGTTGCCAAAACTGAGCAGAATTGCACTGACTGAATGGACAACACCGAGCTGGTGCGACGTAGCATAAACAGAGCTCTACTTCACCCAAACAGAACATGTTCGGGCTTGACAGAACTCAGCGGACAAAAAGAGCGTGCGGCCAACGAACCTAATCGAACGTTATAGGACAAGATACTGCGAAATAACCTTTAAACTTACAACAGTCAAATTGGGAATTGAATTCATTACAGTATACATGATGCTTCTGTTCATGAGAACAGGTGCTTTATTATTATTGCGTAGCTGTTCTTTTGCCTATCGTTTAAATAGCTTGCTGCGTAATATATGCGCTGGGGCTGATGCTCCACAAAGAAGTGCCGTAAACGCCATATTCGAAGACTTACCAGTTCGTGTCACTTGCCCGAAGGCAGAGCCATCACCGTTCGACGAACAATTCCAGTGCCGATATCTGAATTGCTTTTTGCACTCATGAATACCAAGTTTGGCGCCTATACTGATCATTGGCATATGGTCAATATATCGCTGACACAGGCGCATCTGTGAGTGGGTCAGACCCTGCACACGGAAACACAACGGTTTCGGAGCCAAAAGATATGCCGGGTTCTGGTGAACTGTGCGCCAAGACAGTAATCCAAGATCCCTGAGAAAAACGAAAGTGCAGTTGTCTGAAGGAAAAAGCTAATTTTTGTAAGAACAGACGTACCAGAAGATTAGGATTAGGCGGAGTGAAGTGTTGTATGCGATGGATTTGCTATATTGGTAACTGGGAGATGACACTCTCTTCAGTTCAGCAGTGGTGTTGCTTATAGGCTAGTAGTCATCACATATACCCCAACGTTCTATATGCAAGACCATGGAATGAATATGTGGTGTGCCAGTGTTGGGAAGAGCAACACCCAAATATTTCCATTCAGGATACGCTCCATCAGATCGGAATGACCGAGGTTTACCTCAAAGTGAACCGAGGTCTCAATAGAGGTAGCGAGTCGCAACCCAACCACACAGCGTGCTCTCTAAAATCAGCTTTAAATATGTGATTACTTCCAGTGGTGCATGGGTAGGTGATCGACCAGGACTTCATACGCTTCGTGTGGACTTGGGTCTTGAAATACTAGCGCCTCCAGTGGTGTTCATCAGATTTGGCCGAATAATCTCGCCGAACCGATGTAGCAGGTTATGGAGTTTAAGTGTAATTGACATGCTTGGTCCCATTGATAGCAATCCCAATGGTAGCGTTGGCTGCTAATCGCAGCGAGTGGACTTTGGGTGCTACCCGTGGCAGTACAGGATGTAGAAAGGTTACCAGCTTCCTATCTGGGCCACAAAAGTCGTCGTCTGCTGTCAGACAACTAGTTCACGCTCATGTCTACGACAAACAAAATCTACAGTGGAACATAAATACTATTTGTGGAAGAACAGTACGGTTTACGTGGGAGCTGTCCCACTCCTAGCACGATTCACTAGCACAGTGGTCTATTGCATGGGACTGGATGTTTATTTAAAAGAACAAGCATGAATGACACCGAATAATCAGTAAAGCATTAGGTCTTTAGTTATCCTCTATCTTACTCTGTGTTTTACCCGAACTGTCTCATCGATGTTAACTTTGTTCTCACAGCCAATGCCTGTCGGACGATACACAGGACTCGTGTGTGGAAAAGACTGTGTGCGTAACCAATCGGACTAGGAATCCGCTGCATATAAACATTACAGCCTTACCATTTTGCTTGTTGTGTTCTTAGTTACAATAGTAGCCAGGCCGCTGTACAGGGTTATAATGTGCCACTGAGGTCCACAGAGTCAGTGCTTTTTTCATTCTGATCCACCTCATCACAGGATGCTGACTGCCGAAGTTATGAATCACTTCTTCCAGTTCTTTTAATTGTGTGACCCTATTCGAGAAACACCAGGCCGTCGCTTTATTGCAGATAAAGAGGCGAACATTTGAAAGGACGTTATGAAGGTCCGGACTACGTTCCATTAAGCCAACAAAAGGTTTACTCTTAAGATTTGGGCAGCAAAAAAATAACCCAGTATGAGAGCGTTATTAATCAACATGCACAACAGAATTGAGTCCGTCTGTTTGACCGCCCTTAATTGACCGGTGATGACGAAGTGGGGAAGAAGTTCGCTCACTTTACAATGCTTGATCTTTCAATTTGGAGAAGATAGATTTCGACCACTTCCTAGCCAGCAACTTCCATGAACGTCAGGAAAATCGCGGGGCAGATGCTCATGTTACTGAAGCTGGTTGGCAGCCCGCATCCTACCGACCTCTCCGAGGAGTCGAACCTGCAGACCACGCGTCTGAAAGTCAAATGCTCAGGCCAATAGGTCATGGATGACTTCAGCGGACTGATATAATTGATTACTAGCTGTGGTATGGTGCGGCTCAGTCCCAACTACTATACACTTGGGTAAGGGGTTCTACTCTTGCAGCAGTCGGTAGAAAACATTCCATTGATTAGTTCCAATAGGGCGTGCTGGCTCTCCAACGGTTTTCTATTATGCGGGTTTGTCTGAGTAGCACATGACAACAATAAATCTCCATCCTAATGACAGGAGAATCTCCGAAAAACTACTTGCCAATTTCATACTAATTTACACACGCGAATGTTACTTAGCAAGTGCTGCATCAAATCAATTTCTTGCGGTCGCCGGAACTGTAATAAGCAAGTCCGTTGCTGAACCAGCGTTCTACGACCTAGATGTACGAAGAGAAAGTCGCAGTAGACCACTCCACAGAATTCAGATAGTGGCCTCTCAAACGCATGTTCCGGTAACTTTTCTATAGGCAGCACTAAGTGCGAACAGGATCGTTCAAGATCTGCTAGCTGACTTAGGGTGATAACGCAATACTTGGTCCCACTACCCGTATGGGTTAGTGGTCTTAACTGCTAGTTGGGTGAAAGTCGACGAAAACCATGCAAGATTTTGTCGGCTACTCCCTAAGACAGTTTGACGGGAGTGAGGCCGCGCTTCTGACAAAGCTGACAGGCACGGATGGCGTACCCTATGTGGAAGCACACGAACTTGTTCGGCACCTGGAGTCCGAATGATCGGTTGAAACTCCGAACGCCGTTTGTGAGAAGCGAAAATACCAACCGACTTTTCCTGATGCAAGTGAAGCTATTCGGGCACGGGGATCAAAGCAGAGATCAACTCGTACTCGCGTGACATTGTGGTTTTCCTCTGCACAGCTATATTTTTTACTTCTCTGAGGATCGGTCAAAGGTGTGGACAAGTGCTTTAGTCAATCGATTAATACCTTGACCCAGGCATCAACCAACAGACAGGTAACATTAACGAAGACAAAATGGAAACATGAACCGCTGCAAGTGGCGCCTTGCTAGGACACCTGTGATGGAAAACTGTCTTGTATAAAAGCATAACCGGTCGTTGGATGTCATAATGAGGGAATTTCCGCAATATGGTTTAACCCCTTCTTGCTACTAAAGTTAGGTGAAAAGTTTCCATGATGGACCGAGGTAGATCAGTCCGACTGGGGTAGAAGCTGCACCCCGAAAACAAAGTGGCCATTATAAGTAAAGAGATAAGACAGTTTCAAGGCATTTGCTTGACACACGGAAAATTCATCGAGTGATGTGTCAAAAGGCAGTTTTCCCCGTAACAGTAGTCGCGATGCGGCGCAAACGGATTTTGCGTCGATAGCCAATAAACTTTAAGAATGTTAAGGACAACTGCACGACAGCTGTTATTCCGAAGTTACGGAGGTTACCGTCAGCATGATAAAGGTGGATTGTCAAATTCTGTCGCCTCATTTGTCAATGTATCCACCGTTCCATGTCAGATCACCAAGTCTAGAATAACGCTGAACCAGACAACCCAGTGGCTCACTCTAATAGCATCACCATCAATCACCATCCTCCCAAGCGAAGGTTTTCCCTAAGGCCAGTCAATCCTGGTGGCGTCTTATCTAGCAGAGAAGGGGTGTGGTTCACATCCTTGGCGCCTACCAGTATCAGTCCTTATCGGTTTACTAATGATGTCAGCGTTGGTAACACCAGAGGATCGATTTTTTCACACAGTGCTGTGGTGTCACAGTTGTTACCTCAGTCATGGCATGTGGGACTTGCAGCTAGTGTGGGTAGCTTTCACGATGACACAAGACTGGTCGAACTCATTGAATCAGTTAACAGAACGAAATCTATGGTTAAACTAACGGCACGTCATTATGCTATCAGGTGTTTTGGTGTCACAGTACCCTTAGACGAATGAGAGAGGTTGCGGCAATAAATCTGTGATGAAGAGTAATCGCAGATTGTAAACGTTTACAGTATTAAAAACTGAACATTTTCAAAAGTAGTGAAGTATTCCGTAGAATCACCAGAACAGTTTCCTCCAGCAGGCTGACAGACTCTCTAAAGACTTCCTGCATGGTCAGTTTCCCCTGATATACCTCCTCAATAGTGCTTGAACAACGAGACAGAAATTAATACCGTATCCTCTTTATCAGGTAGGTATTTTATCTTCTGGATTACAGCCTATCACCGGAAGCTGCCGCGAATGAGTTATCACATAAACACAAGCGTTTGACCGATTCGCAAGGCAATACCGCAAGTTATTGTTGAACGGCAAACGTCCAGCAGTTTACAATTTGATTAACTTATAAATGTAAGCCAATAAGTTGCGTTGCAAAGTAAGTAGTCTACGTACACATTTCAGACGAGCTGCAAAATCTCCGGTTATCCTTGCAGCAGACATTCATAACGGCAGAAGTCGTCCATAGATTGGAACAAACAGAAAACCGGTTTGTTAGTAATCGTTGGGGTTATGGATCAGCACTCAGTAGAGCATCCCGCTTTAGGTAATGCAGTGACAACTACACCATCAGTCTCCTAATTCGCTTACCGTTGGAATTGCTAAAATTACGTGGTATACTGCGCTCACAGAGGGATCATGATTGGTTTGCGCTGCTCAGCCCGCATCTTCGTGTCTGCTATAAACTGAAGCTGGTCGGCCAAGAGGCACAAGAGGGAAGCTACGTTCCTTGAGAGCCCGACCACTGTCCCACGACAATCAGAAAATTTATGGGTATATGGATCCACTTGGCAATATCTCAGAATCAGGAAATTCTGGATCAAACTTCAACGCAAGATATACAGTCCAACCTGCAATGGCAACCCCCGGTCTATGACGACCAGCCAAAAACATCCCCATGGTTTGCTCCTATGAGTAATGTCCCTAGGCATGAACCTGTCCATCGCGACCACCTGTCCAAGGCGACCACTTTCTGTTGGTCCCATGAGTGGTGGCCTTAGACAGGTTTGACTGTGCCACATGAGAACAGACTTAATCTATAAGTAGTTGATTCATGCTAGGATAGGTGTCATTTAGCCACGCAAAGACGGCCTTGGGGAGCATGATAAGTTGTAACCTATTCCGATATCGATCCCCTGCTTGAATCTAACTGTGTGTGTGAAGTGCATTATGTCGTCTGTGAGAAATCAGTGGTCCCTTTTTGTTGCGGGCACGTCAAATATTCCCGCAAAAACGCGCCAGAAACCCCAGCAGAATGGCTGTGGAAAGCGAGGTTCAATTCCTCCCCACAACGCAGCAGAGCTCAGCCACTCCGAGACGCGTCCCAACTGCGAACCTTTTGACAATGCTCATTTGCAA